TTTCCTTGCTAGGCGATGGACGCAGTTTCCTGCTGCGCTGATGGACGCAGGTTTCCGTGGTGACTTGATGGGATGCAGGTTTTCAAAATTTTGCAAGGTGGCTGATGTGGAGACCAGTTTCGAGGATGTCTTGATGGAATTCAACATGAAACGGTTAAAATTTCAGCAAATGTTGCCATGTACAATAGCAAGTAAATTCTGATTCGTTGGTTTGAAAATTCTTGTAAGATTTGTTAACATGAAAAGGTAGTTATTGTTTATTAAAAGAAAAAGTCAGTTTTTTTTTCATTTACCTGTATTATTGTTGGGAACACATTGTTGTATTGTACCACATAATGTTGGCAAATTAAAGTGATCCTTATCCTTATGGTAAACTGAAATAATTGTGTGGCCAGAGTTGCAATGCGTGTACAGGTAACACATGTCACAAGAAAAATCAAAAACCATGTTTTCACTATGTGTTCAATAGATACGCTCATATACAATCAACTCAAGTTAGGTATTATTATCATTGACTACATATTACCTTTCAGCCATCGAAACTTTAAGTAAGCCATAGACTTATTTCATTATCAATTAAATGTTTGTCACTCTTTACTTATTTACCAACATTACGTCGGAACACATTTTTTTAATGGCTTTACCACATTGATTGTTCGCAATTAATGGCATCATTAGCCTCCTTGTAAAACTAAACAATAGCCTAACAGGGTGAAAGGTTGACAAACCACAAATTACTTCCAAGTAAATTTCATATAGTGGTTTTAAAGTTTGGCTTATGAATAAAAAAATATGGTAATTTATCATGCGATGAAATGTCACATTTTTGTTTTTCACAAAAAAGTTCCCTGTGTATGCATTATATTATTATATGAATAGTCATACAGAGTTTTGATTTGATCATAATAATTTTTAGTGAATTAATTTCAACATTCTTCAGTTGTAAAAGCAATATATACCCATGAAGAACAGTGCCAGAGCTAGCAAATCAAGATTATCAAGAATTAAAAAAGCCGTTCCTGAATCAGGCCAGATAAGGGTGAAACTCCTTGAAATGATGAACCGGGCCCGGCAGATGCTGACAACAAAGTATATATTGATGTAGCGATTCATGATTACATAAAATAAAGGGATTTCAATTCGCTATAATTTTTAAACATTTAAAAATCTCTTAAGTCCCAGGTTACCATATTTCAAGGGTGTCACTTTTACTTTCTAAGTTTTTCTTTTTCATTTTATGTATTTATTTATACCCACATTCTCTTGATATGAGTACATGTTAGAAGTAATTGATTTTTTATTTGTAATGTATCTGTTGCTAGTATGCGTTGTTAAAAACATTGTTTAAGGTGACCACTAGCCCCCATAATCTTTTTTGATTACTTCACCGCTACCAACACCTGCACGATCACCTTATGTGTTGAGTTCCTGAGTCACTGGCCCATCTTTCTGCTTTATTATATGTGTTCATCTTGGTGTCATGACAAGTATTCTCCTCCTGCCTCCTCCTCTCTCCTCCTCCTCCTCCTCCTCCTCCTCCTCCTCCTCCTCCTCTCCCCTCGCTAAGGAGCAGCCCACATCATCTCCTATATTTATCTTGATTGTTGTTGCTGAAGTACTCATGCTTCTTAGATAACATGATGCCACTGACAAAAATTGAAGTCTCTTCTGCCCTAAGAAAGAATAGAGTTAAAGAGAGAGACAAAATAATTGATATGTGCTATATGTCACAATACATAGGATCAGGATTGCCACCCCGAAAATCCAGAATGGAAAACTGGTGAAAGCTTAAGCATAGGTGGGAAAAGCCTTCCCATCCACCACATTGTGGATGGATGGTGGGTGCCTAAGTAGTAACTCAAATTACCACCCATTTTGGACCGCAGATCAAATGGATGACTAATGTCTGTTGTTCAAATGAGTTAATTATTATACTTAGGCTACGTGGCCCCACAGTTTTATATTAAGTGCTTTGTTCAAACCAGCAACCTTAAACCATTGTTTCAAATTTATATTATTTAGGATTAGTACAGATTTGTCTCAAAGTTCTTAAATATATTATAATTCTTGAAAAAATGCTGTTTACTTTCTTGTATTAATTTATAATAAGAAAAACAATGTCCAAATTATTATTTTTGAAAATACAGTGGAATATTTTCATATTGTAATACAAGCGAGGGGATTTCATTTTAATATCATTTGCAAAATTAACGGAGGATAATGGCCAGTTAACAAACACTTACATTGAAGGAATGTGAGATACAAATCTTTCAGCGTACATTATCAACAAAACAAAAATTAAATTTTTGGGCAATACTAACTATTGCAATTACATTACACACGGAGCACATACTGGATTTTTCTTCTGGAGGGCTACAGATATATTTTTAAGCTAAATTGTTTTCTTGTAAAGAATTTGTTCTTTATGCGAATATACAATGTATTTAATTTACGTCATAATCATCAGTTAATGTTTTTAAAATGTTAACATTTGATATATGAATGACTTGGAGATAAAAGAAATAGATAAAGAAATAGGAGATAAAGAAAATAATTAAAGCTGTGTTTTGTTTATGTATCATTGCCACCGGCTTTGGAGTTTTTATGGACAGCAATAAATAAATAAATAGAATGTTTACACCTTAAATTCTATTCTCACAGTGAAACTTGAAAAGGCCAATTTCATGTGCGAATCACCTCTGTCTGGTGTCTCAACTGCTCAGCTATACCTGTTATGACCTCCTAAGAAACACCCAACTTCCGAGCGTGTCGCTCACCTTGACGCGGAAGCGCAGTTGCGACAACAATGGCACAGGCACTCCTTCCTCTCGACGCCTGAGCTGAGCAGTCATCCACTGCGACCTCAACCGGAGAACATTCTTCCTGCAACCCAAAGCGATTCAGCTATCAAGATTGTGACTTGGTCCCCTGTCAGTTGGCCAAAAGGGTCTGTTGCGACCATTTAATAAGTTTAATAGTTAATCTTTAATAAGTGATGTTAGCGGACTTTCACAAGAAGGAGTTTATAATTACATCGTTGAAGTAAACGAAAGACCATTTATAGTGTTTCTTAAGGATTGTTGAAACTTGAGATAAGGATGATTGAAATAGACATTCTGCATCTAGATCAATGGGATAAATATACCAGCAATAGCCACTGCCTTCAATTACAGTGCCTTCCAGGCAATTGTTTGAAATAGAAATTGGTGTTTTCCCACTTGCTTCAGACTTCAGGACATAGATGCTTGTGTGAGGTGGAAACAAAAGATATTGCTAATAATTAATTTTCCCTTCTGTCTCCATTTCTATCAAGAACAACTATCAAACTGAGTCAAGTATGACCATTACCAAATTTTTTGAAATTTTCAAGACCAGCAACTGAATCAAAATCAGGGTTTTGAAAATAGTTAAAAAAAATAGAACCCATTAAAAAAGCCTGTTTAAGTAAGGACATTCAGAAGAGAGATATGCAATGTCCCATGTGTTTTGCTAAAACATGAAGAAAGAGTATTTATTGGTAATTATCCATTGATTTTTCACTAAAACAATGAGTGTAGTAGTTTCAAAACCTCTTAAGAAGAAACTACCGAAAATGTTTTTTAAATATGGCTGTCCACTGTGATATTTATCCTACTTCAATAATGTAAAATATATTTTTAAATTTATAAAATGTACTGGAATTCTAATATGATATGGTAAAGTTATTGTCACAGGACTAGTGCAGTTAGATTATAGCTATAACCCTAAGTTACTAAAAAGGAAGCTTTCTAGTGATACTCTGAAGTTTCATTCAGAACGACTTCATTAAGTATTCTGTTGTTTGAATATTCATTCTCAGCAATGGGGCGTATGTTTCATAAACGTACTGTATACTCTTACAAACATGAATATTATGAGGCGAATAAATTTATAATAGAATAGTGCTCTATGGCTTTATTTAGGCTTTTAATTCTATTATGAGTTTCATATTGAATTTGCAGCAGAAAATAAGTGTGAGCCTATGTGTATTTACAAAGTCTACCAGTATATCCAGTCCGCTTCTACCTTCGCCGAGTGCTACGGAATACCAGTGGACCTGCGATTACATGTGAGCCTGGGCGTGCATCCTTGTGGAGAGCACACGGCCAACCCCTCTTTCAGTGCGAATTGAGTGAAATATTACATTAAACAGCGCTCACCGTTTAACATATGGCCATCTTGCGCAACAGTGAGTTTTCCAAAAACATTTCTCTCTAAAAAAGGTATATTCTTGTATGGGGTGTTGAATTTACTCGTGTTAATAAGCAGTTACTTGTGAGGAACATAACTTCAACTTTTATAAGTTGAAAGTAAAATAGTAATAATGCTTTGGTAGTGAAAGTATATAAGGTGCTCAATTTAAAATAACGATTATTATCATTCTGTAGAAGATTATTGGATTTATGAAGGAATACAAATTGTGCTGTATATATCCAAGTGATATAAGAACACCTGCAAATGACAAAGTAGTCAAAACTGGATGATTCTTTCTACTTGCATTATAGAATAGTTTCATAGTGCTAAATTAAACTTCAAAAATTGAAATCTCAGATACCCTCTTTACACACAACACTTGTTAAAAATCATTTTCTATATTATTTTCTCTAGAATAACTAAAAAATTGTTGATTACTTACTTTTTCCACCATGCTCAAA